GGAAATATGAGCTGGACGTCCTGATTCTCTTTCCCTTCTGCCCAGTCCAGGATGAACTTCTGCACAGAGACTGTTTTTCCAATGCCAGCGACTCCCTTTGTCAGCACAGTTCTGATGGCTTTGTCTTGTCCAGGTAAAGCTCTAAAGATGTCATTGCATTTGATGGCTGTGTCCTCTGTTGCTGCTCTCCTGGATTGTGTCTCAATCTGTCTCACCTCATGCTCATTACTGATCTCTCCACTCTCACTCTCTGTGATGTAGAGCTCTGTGTAGATCTCATTCAGCAGTGTTGGGTTTCTCTGCATCGCTGTTCCCTCATACAGACACTCAAACTTCTTCATCAGATTTGATCTAAACGTGTTGAGGACTTCATGCCTGTAAAATAAAAAGTTAATAAGCACAATGTCTTGTGTATTCTGTATCATGTGTTCAGATCATATCTAAATACATGAGGCCACACTGTGTATCTCTATTCTTGAAATATACTCGCCTAACTGTAGACCCGTCACTCTTTATAGACACACAGCTGGACTCTGCTTCTGATCTCTTCTGAGGAACTGAACTAAAACAGATTGAAGTTCATCCTTTAAATGACTGTATGCAACAAATCAACTAAACATTTATCATTATCAAATTCACTTTCAAGAGCACTTTATAGTCATTTCATACACTGTTTATACAAAAATTGTGAACTGAACTGATAATATAAAACATTAAAAGTCACTGTCAACAGTTCAGTTCATGTTCCCTGTCATTGTATGTTGACTCATGCTGTGTTCAGAATGGCACACTAACCAGTCCCTCCAGGATTTTGCTATTCTGCAATTGCAGAATTTAACGCAAAATCAAACAAACTCTGCATAATTCGGAGGACCTTGCAATTTTTCTAAATTGCTGTAGATTTCCCAGATTGATGTCATCTCAATATGCATTCAGCCGTAGCCCAGTTCGAACTGATCGCTAAACTTCTGTTTGCGCCGTTGCTTCATCCCACTGTAAAGCGTGCATGCTCTCCAACACACACACACACACACACACACACAGGATCACACGTGCTCTGAGTGACGTCTTTTCTATCAACAGTTCAATTTGTCAACACTGCCTAGAGGCTCACGCTCTCTATGAACAACCCTAACATGGACAGCATGACGGAACGAGTGAAGGAGACTCTGAATGAAAGTGTAAATTCACTCTCTGACAGTAGGTGGCGCTTATGGAACAGCAGTGATACAGTGGTTTCCTGGGTCACCCTGTAAACACAGCAGGCTGCCCTACTCCCTGTTTCTGACATACTGATCACGGAGAAGCTTCAGGGTTGGGTATCGTTTGAATTTGATCAATTCCAATTCCAATTCCTCTTATCGATTCTGATTCTTTCAATTCCAATGTGATTAAATAATGATATCAAACATTTATCCT